AAATAAGAATACCTACTTAATTTTTTACTCGAAGGCACAGATGATAATCACTATAAATGAAGCCCCTAATCAGTTCTGTAGATCTAAAAATTACAAGCAAAATAAACTTCACAAAATTCTCAATTTCTGATATAAAAAAACTTAAGTCCGGTCACATTACTACGTTTACCTAATCACTAAGATCACGAAACGGACGTCTTGCTATTTATTTTATGTTTATGAGCGACATAAGTGTACCACACGAATCCATACTCATGCATGTGTACAATATACAAATGAAATATATACATTCAAGAAGGTTATTTGTTTTACTTTCATCTCTTTAGTTTTCTCCTTCAAAGCCAAATAAAAAGTGGTAATGTGACAAAAAGTATTGATCTAGAGGAAAAGTAAAAAAAAAACTTCAATACATCTGTTTCATATATAGTTGCTAGTAAAAGAGATCGTGTTAATTAATGGAACTTGACCACAGGCAGATTCCTAGGTTTAAGTACGTAATCGAACTGCAGGCAGTTCCTCTAGTTTAACTTAAATTGTCGAGACGGTGTCACCGTGTCTCGCGCGTTAAAACGGGAATATTTCCACAAATACAGTGATTTATGCCTACCTCTTCTGTCTAATTACCCCGTCTAGTCGCGTAACGGTTACAGGTATGCCAACTGGACCTCTGGTATCACTGTGACCAGTGCCGTCTTTGACCTATTGGAGGCTCTGGGCATATTAGGATAATGGGGCCCCTATGGCCCTTGTTTGGTGATCTAACAGGAACTAGGGACTTTGTATTTGATCTGAGGTGGGCTCCTATCGATCGCGGGGCCCTGGGCAAGTGCCCAAAGTGTCCACTGGGAAAGACGGGTCTGACTGTGACGTAAGGTCGATATTAGTGTTACTATTTTGTGATTTTATGCTTATTTTGGTTTCTTTGATAGATGACGCAACTAACCACTTCAGGATTCGGGCGTAAGAGAGAAAGACAAGTGAATTTAAATTATCCCGGACAAGACGTGATTTTAGAGAGAAAAAGACGAAGAATTAGAAGACTTAAGTGATAGTAATGATGACTTTGTTAATTCTGAATTTCTCCTGCAAATATCAGATCAATGTAAGGAAGAATATCATTTAAGTTTATCACAAAACCAACCAGATAGACAAACAGAAATTTCAAGTAAGTATAGATGAGCTAAAGTCACAATATTCTACTACAAACTATGTATCAAATCTATGTTAGAAAGGAGAAGGTCATTTTATGAGGACAATAGATACAAATGGAGTTTTTCCGAGCCTGTACCACGATCTTGTAGGACTTTGAATTAGTCCAGAATATACCTTAGAAGCCAAGAGAACGTAGCAAACCAGCTAGCACCTAAAACCTTGTTTATTTTTGTCGTGTCTACAATTCTCACTTGCCAAGGGAGCAGACCCTTATAATTAAAGGAATTCTTGGTAAAGATTTGATACCCAAAGACCATGAAGAAATCGTAACCAATTAAAAGAGTAACATCTGTAAATCCAAACTTGAAAAAAAATCAGTGCAATAAGTGTAAAATATACAAACGTCTTCAATGTATCTTAAAAGTCTACCAGAATTGTGCAAATAATCATATATAATATTTTTATTACTTGTTGATTAGAATTTGTTTTTGTTGATTTCATAGGAAAAGTTACTTATATTTAACAAAGATCCTCCTAATGACTAAAAATATGTTCCTAAAAAAGTGTCATTTGTGTTTTGGTATTAAAAATATTATATATTTTTTTACTGTTTTCATGATTTCATTCCATTGTTTCATATGTAATCTTTTAGGTAAGCAATAATTTCACCACACTTGAAATTTATTCTATCAAAAACGTCACTTCAAATTGGAAGTCACTTTGACCTCACCTCGGCAATTATGTACCAAAAATTAGGATCGGTAACTAGAGGTTAAAACAGTCCTAATTACTGGATTTTATTACACCTTTATTCTAACTGACTTTGAGCTTTATATCGCTTGCTGTAAGATTCGCAATCTATATAATATAATTAAAATTTGAATGATAACTTGATGTATGGCTGTCTGTACATACTGGTACATCCAAGACCCACCTACAGTGCAGTAATTTACATCAGGATTTTTTAAATATTTTGGTACTGTTTATTATTCAAATATTTTCCAATTCCAACGAGATATTATTTATTTATTTAAAAAAAAATATCACTAACCTTTTACAGAAAATGTGAGCTGATACAGTTGGACTGTATTGGAGATAATTAGAAGTACTACAAAAACGTATACAGAAATTGGGTTGAGTTGGTTGATAACTTTTTGTCTGTCTGTTTGTGAATAAAACTTATATGAAAACGCTTGGAGGCAAAGTGTTGGCCGAATTAGGTTTCAGCTCATGAGAAAACACTGTGTCAGTGCCAGGATACAATTTGTGGCGTGACTGTGCGATCGTTTTATTTTATTGTCCTTTTTTTGTTATTTAATAAAACGACAATTAAATATTAGGAAATGGATGATAAACAGTGTGACCATAATTCAAAATTATGTCTATTGCCTAATACTCGTTGCATCTTCTTAATATTTTATTTTATTATTATATAATATGAATTCAGATTTATTGAGCTGCGTTTATCTTACATGTTCGGGACTTTGTAAGTAGTCTGAGTTGGTCTTTTATGTATGATACGTCGTGTCATTCGATATGGATTTCCAACACCTCTGCCAATGGTTCAGAATTCCGATAAATGTATGTTAACTAGCACCAAACATTTAATAAACTTATTAATAAATACAAGATCGAGACCGACTAGTAATAATAAAAATCACAACGACATAAATTATTTTCAGATACCTTCTTTAAAGCTATCATTCTATTGACAAAATTCCTGGGGCTTTGCGAAATATAATAAAGACCTACGTGATGTTCTTATTTTATAAAATAAAGAAATATTTTATATATAGTGTAAGCACTATTGGCTCATTTGTTTCCTGGGTCGCTGTAAGCTTTTTTTTTTACGTAAACTTTTCTAATGCGATCGATTTTCACAAAATTAAAGTACCTAATAACGTGACAGGTTTTATCTAGATTTTATCTTCTTTCATTTTAAATTACAGAGTGATATCGCGTTTTTCTAGTCAGAGCCCTATCACAGTATGAACAGAGTTAAAACAGTAGAAGAGCCCTTACTAGACAAACCTAGACCAGACATGTTTGGCCATATACGCTTTACGTTGGTTTAATCGTAAAGCAAGCAACATAAGGACTTTCTATTTATTCGTACCAACTAAGTATGCATGCGTCTGTTAATTTTTACATTTCTTACTTCCACATTACGAATGCAGCCTGCAAGCGTGATTCCACAAATCATACTTTTATGCACTTTCCCGGTTAGAAATCGCCTCGTGAACAAGCGCCTTTTTGATTTCGTCCAGTCGTCAGTTAAGTATGGGACACTGTACTAGCGACGGTTTAGCGTCAGTACAAAACGAACAAATCGTGCAGGTGAACAAGCTTAGCCGGCACTTGCCCGGGTAAAACCGTGGTTAGACCCGGCTTAAAACTGGTCATTAGCGCCCCTAGTCACTATCTTCTCGTTTCCGTACAATAGAGAGCTCATAAATTTTCCGCCTAACTTTTATTGCAGCTGGCCAGGAAACAATTGGGCCGATTGTACCTATACAACATTGTATTGCATATTTGATTATTAAGTAAAAAAAAAACTTGTATATTTTAAAATAAAATTAATAAATTAATTTAAATATGTACATATATTTAATGTACTTCATCGATTTGTTTCCTATGTATTTGTTGCGATGCTACGAGTTTTTACCTAACTCTAACTATCTATATATATCCATTATTATGTAAATTTATTAATATGAGATTATCAGTATCTAATATTTAAATAGTTGCATTTAACGCAATAACTTAATCCAACAACCAATAAATTGCTTATTTTATAGCAAACCATTCCTTTACAGCGTCACCGGGTTTGGCAAACCATTCCATTAAGTCTATACATGCAAAGAAATCTACGGGAAATCTATGGGAGACAAAAAACAATTTCCACCTTATTTAGGTATAATAATTTTTTGGGCGCAGAATACTTAAAAAGTATTTATATAAATAAGTATCAATAATTTTGGAGTATTGTAACGTAAGTCGTAATACCAGACGATTTGAGCACTACTTCACATGTAGACTTCGATGTTTTTGGATCATCACTAATTAATCGTTTGCAAGTGAAAAATGTATAAACATCACTCCCATAAGCACACCTCAACAACAGGCACATTTGGCATTGGTTGGGTGTAAGATGGTATACCTACATTTGTATTATGCCGGCATTGCAGTTAGCTATTCGTGTTTGCTTCTTGTAAACTTGACAACAGTCTGTCCTTATCATACTTTACGGCGCGATAACATTTTGGTCGTTAGCCCGAATAGGAGTGCCAATTGAATTCGGGTAAACGACTAAGTGTAAATGAACGGAGTCGAGTACACCCGTATTCGTTTGGTTACCCGACACTGTTTTCCAGCCCGTATTACAGTGCAAATATTGCTTTGGGTTCCCGAATTCGAGACTCGAGTAATGTCTTTCATAAATCCGATTACGGGCTATTAACCGAGTGTAATTGAGCCATTATAAGGAATGAAAAGGACAGACTGATGTTAAGTTTACAAATATCCAAGTCAAGTGCCAGCATTACTTACAATAGTTTCCGAATACGCTACCAACATTTTTTTTAATTACTTACTATGAATTGTTTTTGGCAGATTTAACAGTATTTAATTTAACTTTGTCACTATGGAAGATCATTAAGATTTTCATATGTTTTGCGATCACGTGTAATCAATGGTTTTGTTCCTACACTAGAATCGACAGCAGCCATTCCCAACCTAGAAGTTTCTTTAATTAAATTTGCAAAATTTTTATACTGATCTCCATTCATTTTATCAAAGTTTACTTTAAGTGTTGGTTTTTTAAACTTAACTGTTCTTGTGTGCCATACCATTACTTTCGTACAATTATCTGCTAGAGGTTCTATGTCTTCAATTTTCAATCCTAAACTGACTAGAAATTTGTCTTCTTCATGGCCTGCTATGTACGGCATGCTTGCTGATGAAGTTAGGAACTCAATGTTGACAGCAAACCCTGCCATATCTACAGGGAATGTTCTTGAACCCGGCCAAGAGTCAAAGAATCCAGCGACCTGTAATAAATGCAACAAACCTCATCATCACAGGAAGAGTATCTAAACCTTGGAAGGGTACAGTGGGCTTTCCATTTTAATTACTGTTAAACTGTACTTTCGGGGCCGTTAAAAGTTGCACAATTTATTGAGTTAATTTATATAATCATAATATAAATATCATAAACTAAAAATAAATATCAAATATAGGTGGTTCAGAAGATTTGGCAGAAAGTTATGACAAAAAAAAACAGTGTTGTTTATAAACGCCAATAGTAAAATATACTATTAAAATGCAATTTATTTTGCATCTGAGGACAAAACAACCAGATCTGAAGCATATTGGAATTATAGAGGAGCTAGAACAACACAATAACTGTTCTGTGGCATATTCACTTATTATATTTCCACTCAAAACTTGTAATGCGGATGTTATTGACAAAGATTTGGTGTATGAAAATAAAGTATTATTGCATAATTTACCTGGTTCGCTTATACGAGCTCAAGCAGACATTTAGTTGGGTTCTTCAGATACTGTATAAGATGTGTGCATAATGGACAGTGGAAGTATTAAGTGGCATGAAGTAACATTTACACTTTTCAGTGACATCCATCAGATGAAAAAAATCGGGATATACGAGTATATTTTGGGTAAATGCTACCCGTTTGGACTATGACAACTGGTTCAGTACATAAATCTCGGGTTGGGGGCACAATGCTGATGATTTGCGAAAAATCGACACTGCATCTATTTTTAGACAACTTTTTTTATCAATACCACATATTAAAGAACTGAGTCAAAGAAACTTTAGAGTAACTTGAACCATATGGAAAAATCGCGTAGCTAAATGACCATTACTAGCTAATAAAGAAATGACAAAGACAGAACGAGGATCATTGCGATATCGATCAATGAGGGATGAAGCAATTATTTTGTTTGAAACAACACGAAAACAGTGTAGTTACGGTGGCGTTAATGCCATAAGAATACCCAACAAACTAAACAAAAATAAGGTTTTTGAAAAATAAAAATAAAATATCCACGTTGATCAACTGGCTATTATAAAACCTATATCAAGAACATGGGGAAGGTCGACCAGAACAGATTCTTTTACAAAGCATCAAGTATAGACAAGAAATGGTATGGTTGTACATCTGGTCATAACACGAGTCTTCATGGTATAATGGTATCTATCACATGGTAAAATACAGAGAAGGACAGTTACCCTGATCATTTGCCACAAAAAGTCAACTTATTTTTTGTTAAAACATGCCATGAACTCTGATAAATCAATATTACACTACTTTTGGCAGTCCTGTAAAAAGGCAATTATTTTACCCTTATTCTTCATTCTAATAACCATTGCGAGAGTATTATACCTACGCCTATGTGAATAAAAAATATTTTTCCATTTTTCACTCAGTTTTATCCTAATGGTCATTAAAATACAGAATTGTAGTGAAACTGTTTTCTGGCTATTAGTAATAAACAACACTGTTTTCTGATGAAAACGAGCATTTGTACTCCAGTCATGGATGTTTAATATTTATTTCTATATATGCTTATATATGTACAGTATATGTATTCCATCCGTTGCCCTAGTATCCCATAACACAAGCATTACAGTGGTTACTTTGGGGCTAGGCTAATTGGTGTGAGTTTTGGAAATATTTAATATTATTATTTATTACAAGTAAATCGAAATTAATCATAATTGTAATAGAACACAATACTATTGCTAAATATAAACAAAAATTACAATTTTGATATAAATATTGTATCATAGAAATCAAATATACTAATAATATGATTGTAATTGGTAAGGTCAAGAAATTCAGTGGACAGAAAAAGACAAAGCACTATTTGAACTTTTAAGGCAGGTCTGAACCCTGGGCACACCACTGATTGGCTGCAAGTTTTTAACAGTAACCAACCAGTAAAACTCATAGGAGGCCACATGCATTTGTAGGCAGGTATAAATTAAGCTTAATCCAGCAAAAACAAAATTAATGAAATAGAAACCGTTTGTTATGAATATTTATATTTTACCTTTCCATCTTTAACTATGGGTGATGATACTCCATAGCCACCAATAAGGCCAACAGGAAACATAGACACTCTCTTAGTCATTCTCATTTCTTCAAATAACTGTAAGTCGATAGTATTATCATCATCACCAAAGTACAGTATTCCTTCATGGATGTTTTGGCGTATCCAATCTATTGCAGCACGACGGTTCGCTACACCACGAGGAAAATTATTACTTTTGTACTGGAATGGCTTGGGACTAGAGATGTGAGTGAATGGAATACCAGATCTCCTGTAATAATGACCATAGAATAATTAATGACATTATGATAATGTTGGTGTTAAAATAGACACCAATTCATTTAATGATTTATTTCAAATAATTGTATAATGCGATTCAACTAAGAATATGACCGACTGGGCGCCATATTGTGATGTCATAGCTGTCAATTCAAACCAAATAAGTAGAGTGAGCAAAAAAAGGTTTTTATTTAATAAAAATATCAACCGATATTAATTATCAATATTTGTTATTATTTGTTTACAAATGTTTTATTTTTACTCTTGAATTAGCGGAGTGCTAAAAAAGGGTTCCAAGTATTTTTTGCAAACCGTACTTTTTAAGCGTCATTAGACAGATAGAGGTCATTGGATTTCCTATTCTTATTTGAATCACATTATATTTAGTTTTGGTTGAATTCTTTCATTTGAGATAAATCATTATAAATAAACTTAATCAAATTTACCTTACAACAGTTTTCACCGTTTCAGAGCATATTGGTTGATCATCAGCTATAACCCAATGTATACGAGGCACATGCATTAAAGTGTGAGAGAGTCTTGTTAGTTCAGGTATTTGCTCAGGCCTTGGATATGTTGGTGTGACATAGTAGATCATCTTTAAATCTGTCTTATTATACAGATGAACTCTCTCATCATTAGTAGTAACATAACACAATTTGCTTTTAACAGGAACTGTCTTTATAGATACAGTATTGAGACTGCAACAAAATAATTCTTTAATTTATTTTTTATAAATTTAGTCTACCACTTAGGCATAAAGTATGAAAATGTTTGAAATATCTAAAGTCTAATGTTTGATTGCATCCATCATCATCATTCAGTCTGATTGAAAGTTAGGAAGCAATCTAAAATGGAGCACACTTGCCTAGAATAAACTATTGCACTTGTGACTTGAGACTACACCAAGATTGTTTACACCAGGGACAGAGATGTGGTGTCAAAATAGTGTTTTAGGTGTAAGCGATTATTTTATTTATTTTTTATTATATATTAATACAATAAATAGATAATATATATTTCTTTTTTGTGTTACCGCTTTCTTCGATCAGTCTACACTATAAGCAGAACATTTCAATCGCTTTTCGGGCGTGCGAAATGGCTTTTTCAATAAAAAGCTCTTCTCTCATTGTTCCACACTGATCTTCAGTTAATGCCTGTTTTCCAGCTCTCCGATAGTACATCTTTTGAGTCTTTTGGTGTGTTTACTAACATCAGTGAGAGCCACCGCAAGTTTATTAACATGGTGAACAAGTCTGCCCTGATAGCGCTTAGCTATAGCGTTTATTTCGTCCTTGATAGTGTTGCTTTGCAAGTAGTCGTGCATTTCTGTGCTTTTCACAAACCATGGAGCATTCAGTATGGTGCGAAACACTGAGTTTTGAAATCGCTGCAGGATTTCTAGGTTTGAGTTACTCGCTGTACCCCAAAGTTCGATGCCGTAAGTCCAAATTGGTTTTAATACCGCGTTATAAATGAGAAGCTTGTTATTCAAACTGAGACGCGAGTGTCTTCCCATTATCCAAAGGAGTGAGCGAAAGCGAATATTTAGTACATCCCTTTTCTTTTGAATATGGGTTTTCCATGTTTGCTTTCTGTCAAGATGTATCCCCAAGTATTTAGCAACATCACATTGTGGAAGCTGTTCTGTTCCAAGCTTAACTGGTGGACAATTTCCAGTCTTCAGCGTAAAAGTTACATGAGTGGATTTGGAGGCACTCGCCTTTATCTTCCATTTTTCCATCCACTGGCCAATGGTTGTGAGATGTGCTTGTAGCTTCTGAGAAGCAATTCTCGGATCCTTAGTGCAACTCAGTGCCACTGTATCATCTGCAAATGTGGCAGATAGTATTTAGTCAGGTAAATCTGCGGTAAACAGTATATAAAACATAGGCCCAAGCACAGATCCCTGCGGAACACCTGCTTTTATATCGTAGAATCCGGAACGGTCTTCATTAACTACTACTCGGAACATTCTATCTTCTAAGTACGATTTGATAAGAGTAAAAAGTTGTGCGGAAAGTGTCTCTTAATTTTGTATAGAAGGCCTTCGTGCCAAACTTTATCAAAAGCTTGTTGAACGTCTATAAAGGCGGCAGAACAATACTGACGCTGCTCCATGGCTGATCTTATCTGACTGACCACTCTGTGAACTTGTTCTACAGTAGAATGTCGCTCTCGAAACCCGAATTGGTGATCAGGTATTAGCTTTTTGTCTTGTACCAGTGTAATTAAGCGAGTGAGGAATACCTTTTCAAACAATTTAGAGAGTATGCGCAGCAAGCTAATGGGTCGATAGGATGACACCTCATAGTGGTCTTTTCGGGAAATACGATAAACGAAGAATACCGTTAAAGAGAGCAGCAAGATATACAACAGCCTTTTTAGGTAGTTTTTTAAGTACTTCAGCTGTCAGTTCGTCATAGCCGGGAGCCTTTTTTGGTTTAAGTGTGATGGTTGGTTGAATAAATGCAATAATTGTTACTTATACTTAGTTTAGATCTATCAGTCAGGTGAGATTCCGATATTAATACTTTATCAAGCATGTTCATATTCATAATGTTAACTACTTCGTTTACATGGCCTGTTAGACCGTTAATGTTCCAGGCTGCTATTCTAAGGGAATCTATTTGTTTACTATGTGGGTAGGCATTGTTGTTAACGTCTGTTAACAACAATGAGTCTTCATAAGAGTTCCCATTTGGTTAATTAGAGCGTCTAGCTTCTCAGCTTGTTTTGTGAGTAAGTCTTCTAGTTTATTGGTTAGACAGTCAGTTGATTCGTTTTGCTGTACTACTTGTGCGTAGGTTTTGTCAGTGGTTCTATTTTGAGAGTATAGTTTCTTAGTGGGGGTATCTTCAAATTTCTTATTTTCTCTTGTTTTATTTTTATTTATATATCCTTTTTCATTAGTATGATCTGATTTTAAATTAATATTTGTCACAAATGGTTTCTTCTTATTTTTCCTATTATAAATTTCTAGGAACACTTCACACCCTTTATAGTTGGCTGGATGTTGTCCTAGACAAAGGGCACATTTCGCAGGAGTAGTTCTATCTTTTTTCTTACAATCTATAGTTTTATGACTTCCTGCACAATTTACACATCTATAAGGGCGCATGCAATTGTTTCGTGTGTGGCCATATTGTTGGCACCGTTTACATTGTGGAATACTGTTTTTTCGTTTTGGGTCTTCTATCACTACTGCTGTGTTGTATATATATATTTAAGTTGTTTAACAGCACCATTATTAGGTTTGGGTTCTAGATTTACAAAGAAAGTAGATAATGGGACCTATCTGGTCCATATTTAGCATTGACAATATCACCTTTAACTGTATTTCCTGTAGTCTCTATAGCTTCCTTTATGGCACTTATAGGAGTACTGTGATGTAAGTTTCTTAATCACTATTCTATAGGGTCTTTCATCCTTTCTTGTAAAAGTGTGTCCAATAAGCTTATGTTCTCTAACAAGCTGTATTAGTTGTTTATATGCTTCAACACTATTACACGATATCCGTAGTTTTTTTAGTGATGATCTTATAGCTGTACTCAGAACTATCTAGGTTTGCCAATCAATTTGATTACTATCTTGTTCAGTATTTTTATTATTTTTATCAGGAGCTAGTGGCGATTTTTCTCCTGTAGGTAGGTCTCCAAGGGAGGGATGTCTTGTTTTGCTGTTTATGAAGAAACTGTGGTGAAAAACTTGCTGCATCATAGTTTTCGAGCCTGGCTCTTTAACTGCACTTTGACCAGTAGCATTAACTGTGGAAGCAGCCTGGGTACCCACTACTTCACAGTCTAGATAATATAAAAGTCACTAAATAGATAATATAAAAGTCTACATTTTGCTTTGAATTTGTTAAATTAAATTAACAATTTTAGTATTCGCAATTTGCATCACAAATACTAAGAATCAACTTTATTAACTGTTATTGGAAAAAAAGTACAACTTTACTTTTTAGTTTCATATTAGCTTACCTGAAGATTCTCAAATCAGACCAAAAAAGCAAAGATAGAAAAATGCTTAGTAAAAGAGCCATTGCAAATATTTTTTTGAATACAGCAATTGATCTCATTGTAAACAACGACATCTAATATGTGCAAGTTATTCTTGATTTTCACCACAAGTGTGATTCGGTGTAAATATGCAGAAGTTTATTTGATCTCCAGTTTGCATTTATTCGTAAAAATCTTTAGGATATTCATTTTCTCGGTGATATAATTAATTGAGCAATATTATTTAATCAATACAGTTATTTTATTGCGGAACTGATTTACTTTCCTATCGAACAAAATAATGTTCACTGTGTTACAAAAACACTGAGTGAACAGTGAATACTACTCTGTAAACTGAACAAGGAGCGGAAATGAAATAGACATTTTTGTCATCAATTGTCATAAATAGTCTATGGATACGAAACTTTTTTTAGTTTTATTCTTTCCTTATTGAGAAAAGCAAAGGCAAGACCATGCAGCCTTTCTCTCAATTTTTAAGTTCTTACGTCCATTTGACTGGAAAGGCGTATATTTTTTTAAATTCCACTAATCGCTTAATTGCGCAGACGGTTGTTACACAAAATCACACCAAATTTAATTAACACTATCCACTAACATTTAAATAGACTGGTGATTATCACTCTTATTTGTCGAAAGCTGTTAACAAATAGGCCTACTGGACAGGACAAAGAAAGATATAGTACCTACGAAGGCTTTTTTTTACCCCTTTCTTTTTCTAGGATGACCATAACTTTTATTTTTTATGTTTAATTGCATTATTATATATATTAATATATTATTTATGTATATTATTATTATTTCAATATATTTTATATATATTCGAAATGACACAACATGCAAATGTGTTTCTATACGACGTGGCTCGTGACGCATCATCAAACGAAGTAAACAACTAAAGGACGCTTGTTTACAACTTGTTTCTGAAAAAATATTGACGAGTTTATTGAGTTTATATGACAAAAAAAGTTTTATATGACACGAACTGTAAAGAATATCATTTAATATGAAATGCTGCTTGGGAAGAAATATAATATATTAACTCAATACTTTTTTTTGTGGGCCCGTAAAAAGTTTTATTGTTAAGAGTTATTAAAATCTTTTTATTAAAATCACTATCCAAATTAGATGAAAATATGATGAACATTTAAACGCTGCAAAGGTTTCATAACTACACACGCCACGTCACGACATATTAGTGTGCACACTCACCGGCACGACAGTGAGCAACACGACACGCCACGACACGTGAATATGTTTCCACCTTATACATTACCACAATTTTTTTTGTTAATTTTAGTACGTTGCTTAACATTTTTAAATTTTATTAAACAATTTGACTATTTTTATGCAATGGTGTAGCAGTGGTAAAAAACTCACCTGCTAGACGGACGGCCTGGTTTCAATTCCCAGCCAAGGAAGTACTTTTTTATTAATGATATTTAAAACTTATACTTGCATTGTGGGCTGCGGAGTTGGTTAAATCACTTGTAGCTTGTAGGTGTCGATTCTGATATGATTCCCTAAACCTAAACTTAAATTTGACAACAGTGGTGCCAACTCTGGCGTGATTCTCTAACCTTAAAACTAAATTTAACATCAGTCTCTCCTTTTCATTCTGTATAGAGAATGACAAGGATATACTGGTGTCGATTCTAGCATGATTCTCTAAACCTAAACTTAAATTTGACAGCAGTATATCCTTGTCATTCTCTATACAGAATGAAAAGGACAGACTGATGTTAAATTTAGTTTTAAGTTTAGAGAATCACGCCAGAATCGGCACCACTGCTGTCAAATTTAAGTTTAGGTCTAGAGAATCATGCTAGAATCGACACCAGTGTACAGTTTGTCTATAAAGTCATGACATTAAATGATGGCGAAACTAGTATGCATGTAGCAACCCTGTACAGTCTGACCAAAATGATTTTGATACTAGCAGTTCATTCAAGTAAAATAGGTAATTAATAAGACAAACTATCCAGTCGTATTTTGTTTCTGTTTTATATATAGTAGGTACTTATGCTTATAAAAAGTTTAGCCAAGCATATTTAATTGAATCAGAATAAAATTATTATAGATAAAATAGTACTTTATAGTGTACAAGTGTGTAATGTTGGTGATTACCGCTGAGGTGCCATTGAGACCAGAGCCGTTAGGTAATCATCAATACACACAAGTATCATCATACGACTATTTTTAACATACTTGTTAAGAAAATAATACTAAAAATCATTTTTAGTATATAAATAGTTTATTTAGAGAAACAATTTGTAAATGTGCAGTTAGTAAAATTAGTGATAGATATCTTCACTAAAAGCATCTGGCCATGGTTCTTTATGTGACCATTTCTTTCTTTGGTCGGCTTTGCCTGTTTTCCCAGGAGTTTCAAACTTTCCATCATTCTTAAAACCTTCGTTGACTATCCGACTCTCTGATTTTCCTGAAAAAAAAGTAAAAAAATATGTAATGGAATTGAAACAATAACTTATTGACATGAAGCAATTAATTCAAAATTGGTAGAAAACCTGACCGAGTTGAACCATAATAACGTATCAAAAGAAATGGTCGTACTACAATATTACCTATTTACAATGTCAATCTAACCTAAAAATGTGTAATGTAAACAATGCCTTTTTTGGTCTCAAAATCGTAATTTGAGGAAATTTGTAACTTCAGGCAGATTACAAACAAATAGTTACACGATTACATACCCGTTATAGATGCTGTTCGCCCATATACATTATCCAAATCCCACAAAATTCGTCTAGCTTGGTAGTGTTCGAAACTTTAAAAATCACTTCCCGCGTGCCACTCCGATTTACTTTACTCATTTTTATACCTTTCTGCGTAGTTTCGTCTTAATTTATTACAGTTTAATCCAAACAATAAAAAAAACAAAAGGAAAACTGTTCCACAACTGAAACTCGATGACAGCTGTTGTACATAAGTTTGGTGTTGCCAGACACATGAATAATGTTAGTTCCTCAAACATTCATGTCACGACTTTATAGACAAACTGTATCCTTGTCATCTTTTATACAGAATAGGAAGGATAGACTGATATTAAATTTAATTTTAATTTTAGAGAATCATGCCAGAATCGACATCATAAATGTCATAAAGTTAACAAATAGGCTGGCTGCTGTTTTATCCATAATACCAAGTAATCCATACTAAAATGGCAAATATGATCATTTTCATTTTATCCATACTGGGCTATTACAACAGCTAACATTCAACTGATATTTTTTTACTTACACCACACATGGCTTCACTATTTCCCAATATAGTTTTGAAAAGTTTGTTAATGAATTTCTTATAAAATAGCTCTTCACATACATGCAGTGTACGGATGTTTACCATTCCGTTATCCTCATCTCACTATGTCTGCCGCAAGTGGTCAAATAAGATCAAAACTGGTCAAATCTCAGGGTCAAATTAAAAGTCAAAGCCCGTTCCGTTCAGGATATGTATGGTACAGAAAAAATAATAATATAATAATTAACAAATTGAGTTAAACTTTTATGTAAAAAAAATGTTATAGGTCAAGAAATCATGAGTTGTTAGAAAATCCGACTTCTCTTACTTTTTTCATAAACTGGTTCATGCATGGTTCAGATCGCGGTTCAGACTGAAGCGATGTCGAAATAATTGATTTATTTTCACGCGTTAAGTTGGCCATACTGTTAATATCTACAACTTCAGTGTGGTGGTGCGTTAGTGATTGCGCGTAGTGTTATTGTTTTGTGGAAAAAATTGTGAAACCTAACTAAATTCTACACAATTTCTAGTAAAAATCCTTATATATTGTTTCTTTGATCTCGAATACTGATATTTTTTCCAGAATATGTCATTCTTCAGCGTGGTAAGTAAGAATTTATGCTACATCAACATCACCTTAGGGCGGTACAATCGTGTGGTAATTGTCAGCGTTTCTTAATTTTATCTCACTCCTTATCAATAAAAATGGTCATATATGTTGGTTATCACCAGAAAACGATTATTTAAGAGTTATTTTCATGACACTTTCAACAAAGGACGACTTTTTTGGTGGTTTCGGATAAGCATCCTCCATATTTTACTGCTACGTGCATGGTACCAACTACATAATATTATGTAGTTATTGAGACATTTTTGGCCTCTTTAGAAATTATATTGGCGTAGAATCATTTTTAACGCGATGCTGTAAATATTTGGTGAAATAAATAAACACTACCAAGTTGTCGTCAGTCGTCATATTAAAATACCTTCATATTTTATTGTGAAATAAAGCAAATCGAAAACCCTGACAAGAGCTTCTTCAACAGGCGAACTTTGCATATCAATACAGGGTATGCAAAGTCTGTTCTAAACAAATCAAAATAATTACAAGATGTTTATGCAGGTGATGAGCCATAAAGTAATTCCTTGCAATGTTATACTAAAATTATTGTATCTAGTACACTAAATAAAAGTTTGTGTGCGTTGAAGTAATTTTTATACAAGTTTATGTTAATTGACCAAACACTAAGATGCACTCACAAGATGTAAATTACTTTATTCTTGTCGAAGTGCTTTGTCCTGTTATTATAAAGTCAACACCATAAAGAAGAAGAAAGTGATGGTACTAAGCTTAAAAAAAATTACAGGTGTGCTAGAGTATCTAATGGCTCAATTACATTTGGTTGCCAGCTCATATTCGGGTGGATGAAAGACATTACTCATATTTGGGCACCCAAAGCAATATGTACACTGGAATGCAGCCTGGTAGACAGTGTCGGGTAACCAAAACGAAAACTACCCGAATGTGGGTATACTTAACTTCTTTCATTTAAATTTAGTCATTTACTACCCGAATTCCATTGGCACTCGTATGGGGATAGCGACCAATTGTAATTGCGCCATTAGAGTGTGATCCTAAGAAAATATATAATTCAAAAACATCATAAATTATATTCATTTATTCTGACACAAGTTTACTTTTTTATACTTTGAAATTGTAGTTATAATGAAAAACATTGCTGAAGAAGCAGCACTTTTTACCCGACTGCTACTGCAAGAGCGCGACGTGCAGACAGGGTGTAGTGTTTAACAGTCTATATATGTATGTTTGTTCCTTTGTGGCACACTAGAGACCAAACGCATTGACCGATTTTGATGATTTACACATCAATTGATTCGTCTTAATCATGGGAGTGCTACTAAAGATATGATAATAATCAAAAATCAATATGGAGACAACTGGGCGCCATATTGTGAGAAAGAAAAAAAAATAAGTTGCCGAAATATGTCGAGTGGGGAATCATTGTCTAGATAATCAAAAATCATCATTTTATATGATTGTTTAGGATCTACAACGATTTAAAGTTGTATATTAACCACTTGCTTTTAATTTCAATCTTACGTTTGTATGGATCTTTGTAACTCTTTCAATCAAAAAATACTAAATGGATTTTAATCAAACTAACCAATAATAAAGCTCATACATAATAATAGCATATAGATTATAATTTATGTTGTTATTTGGTGAATTGGCCAAAGTATAACAATAAGTGTCACGTGAGACGGAAAAAATCTCCCATCTGCGAGCCATTTTGGCCTGCACTGCAAAAACAATAAAAGTTACATGAATATAATGTATGGTGGAATTGTATCTCTTATATAGTTCTATAAAAAAGTCCAGGACAGCATATATCTATTTTTAATGGGTAAGCCTATATAGCTCAAATAGTGAATCAAAAATAAAATATTATTTGAAATAAATTTCCAAAATGCATATTTTGTATAAACAATTTTTTTTTGAAAACAAATACTTTTATCGCTTTTGATATTTAAAGACGACTAGCAAACCCGGCGAACTCCGTTTCGCCACCAGATGGCTTCGTTTTATGTAACATTTCGTTTGGTGACTAAAAGAAGTTTTTTTTTAATTTTTCCTGAATTTTCTTTGCTATAAACCTCACGGAGCCCGAGACCTTTCCAACGAATGCAAAACCGTGGAAATCGGTTCGTGCGTTCTGGAGTTATAGCGTCAGGAAGGAAAACCCGACTTATTTTTATATAGTAGATAAACTTTGCCTTTTACTCTCTGTAATTTTGACAAATATTTAAAAAGTTACAACGATGTTACGATGACAAAGTGATAGCGCATTGTGCTATGCAGGAGTATGAGTATAAACGTAGATAAAACCTAGGGGGAAAAGAAAAAAATGCGCTACTCACAGTATCTAATCCTATACGAAGTACTTACAATAAAACTGTGATAAAGTTCCTTCTTATTAAATGATGAAAAAGAAGTTATTATAATAGGTATTTCCATTATTGTAAATTTAATGAAAAACTGAGAATGAAATGGTTTACAAAGTTTATTTAAACGGTATTACTTCATATTATTCTGCAGATAATTCTGCAAAATTCGAAGCAAATAATATAAAGTTTTATAGGTAAATCACCCCTCCCATCACCCTACCCCTATAGATATTTCGATAATGTAGCTAAGAACCAAGGCCCCATCTATTTCTAAAGGGAAATTCATCATAATCGATTTAGCTATTAGGGCGCGGAATCGTAACAAACAAACTCACTTTCGCATCTTTTCAATATTATATTATACTAGTGATCCGCTCCGACATTGCATGGGCGAAATTTATTTTAACGGGATAGGATATGGCCTATGTCACTCGAATATAATGTAGTTATAAAGAAAAAAAATACTAAAAAAAATCCTCTCGGAGAAGTTGTTAGAATTTTTCAAGTAAAAGTTTCTTTAGTTTTATAAATCAAACAGATTAATCAACTTATTGAGATTAATGCTTAAAAATATATTAAATAATGTAGCAAGCTACCTTATGGTTAATGAATTTTCGAAATCAGATCAGGTTTGAGAGATTATTTGTTACACACATACAACTATTGCCTCTTTATAATACCTACTTATTAGTATAGATAATTAGCATAATAATATTTAACCTCTGGCACCTACATATTTGGTTCTATGAATTGTGTAAGTAAAACAAATTATGAGACCAAGGATATGCACTGCCTTTGTATATCACAATCTTAGAGTTGCACACAGCCACTGCCAATTTTAGATAGTCGACGAATAAAAGTAAATGTTTTTTTTATTTACTACTAAAAATAACATAAGCAAAAGATGACTTTTTGAATAAATACGGAAAATAAGTTCTAGTTAAGTATATAATTTACATTCATTAGATGTACGGATAAGGAATTGATTTAACTTTACACATTTTTGCGAAAATTGAGGCCCATAAGGCCTTTAACCTGATAGTAAGGTGTCCAAAGACCACCGCAAGGTACTTAATAATCTGCTTGACATTAACTCCCTTATTGAAGTGACAAGACTGCAGTATATACCGTCTTATAATCCTAACTAAAAAGTGTAAAATAAAAAAGGTAAATTTAAAAAATAAAAAAACCTGACTGCTTAAATATTACTTAAAATAAAAACTGAAAAGAAAAAAACAAGTCCAGGAGTCTATAATTCTGTTAAGTAAGGAACAAAGCTACTTTAACAGTCGGGACCCATTATTGAAAAAAATTGATCCATCCTTGAATAGCTAATGGGTCCCGACTGTTAAAGTAGCTTTGTTCCTTACTTAACAGAATTATAGACTACTGGACTTGTTTTTTTCTTTTCAGTTTTTATTTTAAGTAATATTTAAGCAATCGGGTTTTTTGATTTTTTTTATTTACCTTTTTTTTGTTACAATATAACATAAATACAAAAGTACACTAACTTTCTTTAAAACAATATTAACCAAGTATTCTTAAAAGATACTAGTCTCAATTACATATTCAATAGTCCAGTCAGTATTGTCGCGAAATCCGTTTTTCCTCAAACAGCTGGAACTATGCTAAAAAGTTTCTTAAGATAGTAAAGAACACTTTACATAGAGAAAAAAATGTTTCCAACCCCGGGCAAGGGTGAAAACCACCCTTAATAATCTATTTTTCCAATTATCTCAAAAAGTATACGAGATACGGAAAAAAACTTCAAATGAAAATTGTAGATCTTTTTGAAATCTACAAAACATTATTCCACCCTCTTGCCCCTATTTTCAATAGGGGAGCCAATAATCAAAGTCAAAGATAACTTTTTTAACTAACTTTAACTTTTTAAGTATTGAATCTTTGACTTCGATTATTGGCTCCCCTATTGAAAATAGGGGCAAGAGGGTGGAATAATGTTTTGTAGATTTCAAAAAGATCTACAATTTTCATTTGAAGTTTTTTTCCGTATCTCGTATACTTTTTGAGATAATTGGAAAAATAGATTATTAAGGGTGGTTTTCACCCTTGCCCGGGGTTGGAAACATTTTTTTCTCTATGTAAAGTGTTCTTTACTATCTTAAGAAACTTTTTAGCATAGTTCCAGCTGTTTGAGGAAAAACGGATTTCGCGACAATACTGACTGGACTACAAAGAGAATTAATCAATACAGTTACAAAGGGGACTTTATGAACATTTCTATATAAAAAAACCCTATGTATGTAGCTTTTCATCAATCCTCGAGAACATAAAATTATTTTATAATTTGAGCTACAAGCATTTTATTTTCAAATTTAAACATTAAGATTAGAAGGATAAAAAGCAACAAAATTATTATGTGAGCTTCATTCATTCATTTAAAAAATATTAATTTGGCTTAGGTGTCAGGTTGTAATTGATTACGTTATAAGCAATGAAATATATTTTTCATTTACATTTTTGAAATATTTGATAGGAACACTGTTTCATATTATACGGGAATGGGCGTTAATTCTGCAACACAGTTTTTGTAAAACAAAAGCAGATTTAACGATTCATAATTTTATGTACATTGCACTTGTTCCAAATAAAGTTTTTCATTATTATTATATTATT